ACAGACAGACACACACAGACACACAGAGACACGTGAGAGAGACACACACAGACACACAGACAGAGACACGGTGAGAGAGACACACACAGAGAGGCACACACAGACATAGACACGGGGAGAGAGACATAGAGACACACAGAGAGAGACACAGAGAGAGACATAGAGACACATCGAGAGAGAGACACGGGGAGAGAGACATAGAGACACAGAGAGAGAGACACACACAGACAGAGACACAGGGAGAGAGAGACAGAGACACAGAGACACACAGACACAGAGAGAGAAAGAGACAGAGACACACACAGAGACACACACAGACAGAGACACAGAGAGAGACACACACACAGACAGAGACACGGGGAGAGAGAGACAGAGACACAGAGACACACAGACACAGAGAGAGAAAGAGACAGAGACACACACAGACACACACACAGACAGAGACACAGAGAGAGACACACAGACAGAGACACGGGGAGAGAGACATAGAGACACAGAGAGAGAGACACACGGGGAGAGAGACATAGAGAGACAGAGAGAGAGACACACAGACAGAGACACAGGGAGAGAGAGACAGAGACACAGACACACACAGACACAGACAGAGAGAGAGAGACAGAGACACACAGAGAGACATAGAGACACACACAGAGAGAGAGACACACAGACAGAGACACAGGGAGAGAGAGACAGAGACACAGAGACACACAGACACAGAGAGAGAGACAGAGACACACAGAGGGACACAGAGACACAGAGAGAGACACACAGACAGAGACACAGGGAGAGAGAGACAGAGACACAGAGACACACAGACACAGAGAGAGAGAGACAGAGACACACACAGAGACACACACAGAGACACACACACAGACAGAGACACAGAGAGAGACACACACACAGACAGAGACACGGGGAGAGAGACATAGAGACACACAGAGAGAGACACACGGGGAGAGAGACATAGAGAGACAGAGAGAGAGACACACAGACAGAGACACAGGGAGAGAGAGACAGAGACACACAGAGAGACATAGAGACACACACAGAGAGAGAGACACACAGACAGAGACACAGAGAGAGAGAGACAGAGACACAGAGACACACAGACACAGAGAGAGAGACAGAGACACACAGAGGGACACAGAGACACAGAGAGAGACACACAGACAGAGACACAGGGAGAGAGAGACAGAGACACAGAGACACACAGACACAGACACAGAGAGAGACAGAGACACACACAGAGACACACACACAGAGGCACGGGGAGAGAGACATAGAGACACAGAGAGAGAGAAACACGGGGAGAGAGACATAGAGACAGAGAGAGAGACACACAGACAGAGACACAGGGAGAGAGAGACAGAGACACACAGACACAGAGAGCGAGACACAGACACACAGAGAGACACAGGGACACAGAGACAGAGAGACACAGAGAGAGACACAGAGACAGAGACACAGGGAGAGACAGTCAGGAGCAGCTTGTTGTCGATGTGGTAGCCGTTGAGGATGCGGAAAAACTACACACACAGACAGAGACACAGAGACACAGAGACACACAGACAGAGACACAGAGACACACAGACAGAGACACAGAGACACACAGAGACACACAGAGACACAGAGACACACACAGAGACACAGAGACACAGAGAGAGAGACAGAGAGAGAGACACACAGAGAGAGACAGAGACACAGAGACACAGTCAGGAGCAGCTTGTTGTCGATGTGGTAGCCATTGAGGATGCGGAAAAACTACACACACAGAGACACAGACAGAGACACAGAGACACAGAGACACACAGAGACACAAAGACAGACAGAGACACACAGAGACACACAGAGACACAGAGACACACAGACAGAGACACAGTGACAGAGAGACACACACACAGAGACACACAGAGAGACAGTCAGGAAAAGCTTGTTGTCGATGTGGTAGCCGTTGAGGATGCGGAAAAACTACACACACAGATACACACAGAGACACACAGAGACACAGAGACAGAGACACACACAGACAGATACACACACACAGACACAGTCAGGAGCAGCTTGTTGTCTATGTGGTAGCCGTTGAGGATGCGGAAAAACTACACACACAGAGACACACAGACAGACAGACACAGACACAGAGACACGGTGAGAGAGACACACACAGACACACAGACGAGAGAGACACACAGAGACACACACACACAGACAGAGACACAGAGACACAGAGACACACACAGAGACACAGACACACAGAGAGAGACACAGAGACACACAGAGACACACAGAGACACAGAGACACAGTCAGGAGCAGTTTGTTGTCTATGTGGTAGCCGTTGAGGATGCGGAAAAACTACACACACAGACAGAGACACAGAGACACAGAGACACACACAGAGACACAGACACACAGAGAGAGACACAGAGACACACAGAGACACACAGAGACACAGAGACACAGTCAGTAGCAGCTTGTTGTCTATGTGGTAGCCATTGAGGATGCGGAAAAACTACACACACAGAGACACAGAGAGACAGAGACACGGTGAGAGAGACACAGAGACACACAGAGAGAGACACAGAGACACACACAGACAGACAGAGACACAGAGAGAGACAGTCAGGAGCAGCTTGTTGTCTATGTGGTAGCCGTTGAGGATGCGGAAAAACTACACACACAGACAGAGACACAGAGACACAGAGAGAGAGACACAGAGACACAGAGACACAGACAGAGACACAGAGACACACATAGAGACACACACAGAGACACAGACAGAGACACAGAGACACAGACACACACACAGAGACACAGTCAGGAGCAGCTTGTTGTCTATGTGGTAGCCGTTGAGGATGCGGAAAAACTACACACACAGAGACACAGACACGGTGAGAGAGACACACACAGACAGAGACACACACACAGACACACAGACAGAGACACAGAGAGAGACACAGTCAGCAGCAGCTTGTTGTCTATGTGGTAGCCATTGAGGATGCGGAAAAACTACACACACAGAGACACAGACACACCGAGAGAGACACACAGACACACCGAGAGAGACACACAGAGAGAGACACACACACAGAGACACACAGACAGAGACACAGCAGCAGCTTGTTGTCTATGTGGTAGCCGTTCAGGATGCAGAAAAACTACACACACAGAGACACAGACACACACACAGACACAGAGACACACAGAGACAGACACAGAGAGAGAGAGACACACACAGACACACACACAGAGATCGAGAGAGACACACAGACACACAGAGAGACACACAGACAGAGACACGGTCAGGAGCAGCTTGTTGTCTATGTGGTAGCCATTGAGGATGCGGAAAAACTACACACACAGAGACACACAGACAGAGACAGAGACACGGTGAGAGAGACACACACAGATACACAGAGACACACAGAGACAGACAGAGAGAGAGAGAGAGAGACACACAGACACACAGAGAGACACACAGAGAGACTCAGACAGACACACAGAGACACACAGACAGAGAGACACAGTCAGCAGAAGCTTGTTGTCTATGTGGTACCCGTTCAGGATGCGGAAAAACTACACACACAGACACACAGACAGACAGACAGAGACACAGTGAGAGAGACACCCAGAGAGAGAGAGACACACAGACAGAGACACACACACATAGAGACACACAGACACAGTCAGGAGCAGCTTGTTGTCTATGTGGTAGCCATTGAGGATGCGGAAAAACTACACACACAGACACACAGACACGGTGAGAGAGACACAGAAACACAGACAGAGAGAGAGACACACACAGACAGAGACACACAGAGAGAGACACACAGAGACACAGACAGAGAGACAGTCAGGAGCAGCTTGTTGTCTATGTGGTAGCCATTGAGGATGCGGAAAAACTACACACACAGAGACACAGACACAGAGACACGGTGAGAGAGACACACAGACACACAGACAGAGACACGGTGAGAGAGACATAGAGACACACACAGAGAGGCACACACATACATAGACACGGGGAGAGAGACATAGAGACACACAGAGAGAGAGACACACAGAGAGAGACATAGAGACACACAGAGAGAGATAGACACGGGGAGAGAGACATAGAGACACAGAGAGAGACACACACAGACAGAGACACAGGGAGAGAGAGACAGAGACACAGAGACACAGACACAGAGAGAGAGAGACAGAGACACACAGAGAGACAGAGACACACAGAGAGGCACAGAGACACAGAGAGAGACACACAGACAGAGACACAGGGAGAGAGAGACAGAGACACAGAGACACACAGACACAGAGAGAGAGACAGAGACACACAGAGAGACATAGAGACACAGAGAGAGACACACAGACAGAGACACAGGGAGAGAGAGACAGAGACACAGAGACAAACAGACATAGACACAGAGAGAGAGAGACACACAGAGAGACACAGGGACACAGAGACAGAGAGACACACAGACAGAGACACAGGGAGAGAGAGACAGAGACACAGAGACACACAGACACACAGACACAGAGAGAGAGACAGAGACACACAGAGACATAGAGACACAAAGAGAGAGAGAGACACACAGACAGAGACACAGGGAGAGAGAGACAGAGACACAGAGACACACAGACACAGAAAGAGACACAGACACACAGAGAGACACAGGGACACAGAGACAGAGAGACACAGAGAGAGACACACAGACAGAGACACAGGGAGAGAGAGAGAGAGACAGAGACACAGAGACACAGAGACACACAGACAGAGAGAGAGATAGAGACACACAGAGAGACACAGGGACACAGAAACAGAGATAGAGAGACAGAGACACACAGAGAGACACACACAGAGACACACACAGACAGAGACATGGGGAGAGAGAGACAGAGACACACAGAGAGACACAGGGACACAGAGAAAGAGAGACACACGCAGAGACACGGAGAGACACAGAGACAGTACCTTGAGTGAGTACCTTTGACTGGTTGTTCTTCAGCCTGTGAGTGAGTACCTTGAGTGAGTACCTCGAGTGAGTACCTGGAGTGAGTACCTGGAGTACAGCGAGTACCTTTGACTGGTTGTTCTTCAGCCTGTGAGTGAGTACCTCGAGTGAGTACCTTGAGTGAGTACCTTGAGTGAGTACCTTGAGTGAGTACCTGGAGTACAGCGGGTACCTTTGACTGGTTGTTCTTCAGCCTGTGAGTACCTGGATTGAGTACCTCGAGTGAGTACCTGGAGTGAGTACCTGGAGTACAGCGAGTACCTTAGACTGGTTGTTCTTCAGCCTGTGAGTGAGTAGCTGGAGTGAGTACCTCGAGTGAGTACCTGCAGTACAGCGAGTACCTTAGACTGGTTGTTCTTCAGCCTGTGAGTGAGTACCTTGAGTGAGTACCTGGAGTGAGTACCTGCAGTACAGCGAGTACCTTTGACTGGTTGTTCTTCAGCCTGTGAGTGAGTACCTTGAGTGAGTACTTGGAGTGAGTACCTTGAGTGAGTACCTTAAGTGAGTACCTTGAGTGAGTACCTCGAGTGAGTACCTGCAGTACAGCGAGTACCTTTGACTGGTTGTTCTTCAGCCTGTGAGTGAGTACCTCGAGTGAGTACCTTGAGTGAGTACCTTGAGTGAGTACCTTGAGTGAGTACCTGGAGTGAGTACCTCGAGTGAGTACCTTCAGTGAGTACCTTGAGTGAGTACCTCGAGTGAGTACCTTGAGTGAGTACCTTGAGTGAGTACCTTGAGTGAGTACCTGCAGTACAGCGAGTACCTTTGACTGGTTGTTCTTCAACCTGTGAGTGAGTACCTTGAGTGAGTACCTTGAGTGAGTACCTTGAGTGAGTACCTTTGACTGGTTGTTCTTCAGTCTGTGAGTGAGTACCTTGAGTGAGTACCTGGAGTACAGCGAATACCTCGAGTGAGTACCTGGAGTGAGTACCTGCAGTACAGCGAGTACCTTTGACTGGTTGTTCTTCAGCCTGTGAGTGAGTACCTGGAGTGAGTACCTTGAGTGAGTACCTTGAGTGAGTACCTGCAGTACAGCGAGTACCTTTGACTGGTTGTTCTTCAGCCTGTGAGTGAGTACCTTGAGTGAGTACCTGGAGTACAGCGAGTACCTTAGACTGGTTGTTCTTCAGCCTGTGAGCTTCGTCCACAACGAGACAAGCCCAGTGGATGGAGCCCAACACGGCCTGGTCGATGGTGATGAGCTCGTAGGACGTCAGGAGAACGTGGAACTTGAGCCGTGCCTCCTTCTGGTGGTGGTGGGGAGGGTGGGGAGGGTGGCACGGGTGGTGGGGAGGGTGGCACGGGTGGTGGGGAGGGTGGCACGGGTGAGCGGGTGCTCAGCACGGGCCTGGTCGATGGTGATGAGCTCGTAGGACGTCAGGAGAACGTGGAACTTGAGCCGCGCCTCCTTCTGGTGGTGGTGGGGAGGGTGGGGAGGGTGGCACGGGTGGTGGGGAGGGTGGCACGGGTGAGCGGGTGCTCAGCACGGGCCTGGTCGATGGTGATGAGCTCGTAGGACGTCAGGAGAACGTGGAACTTGAGCCGAGCCTCCTTCTGGTGGTGGTGGGGTGGGGGTGGGGAGGGTGGCACGGGTGGTGGGGAGGGTGGCACGGGTGGGGGGGAGGGTGGCACGGGTGAGCGGGTGCTCAGCACGGGCCTGGTCGATGGTGATGAGCTCGTAGGACGTCAGGAGAACGTGGAACTTGAGCCGAGCCTCCTTCTGGTGGTGGTGGGGAGGGTGGGGAGGGTGGCACGGGTGGTGGGGAGGGTGGCACGGGTGGTGGGGAGGGTGGCACGGGTGAGCGGGAGCTCGGCACGGGCCTGGTCGATGGTGATCAGCTCGTAGGACGTGAGGAGAACGTGGAACTTGAGCCGTGCCTCCTTCTGGTGGTGGGGGTGGCACGGGTGGTGGGGAGGGTGGCACGGGTGGTGGGGAGGGAGGGTGGCACGGGTGGTGGGGAGGGTGGCACGGGTAGTGGGGAGGGTGGCACGGGTGGTGGGGAGGGTGGCACGGGCGGTGGGGAGGGTGGCACGGGTGGTGGGGAGGGAGCAAGGGAGGGTGGCACGGGTGGTGGGGAGGGTGGCACGGGTGGTGGGGAGGGTGGCACGGGTGAACGCGAGCCCAGCACGGGCCTGGTCAGCACGTGGGACGTGAGGAGAACGTTGAACTTGAGACGCGCCTCCTTCTGGGAGTCAAAGACAAACCGAGCCACCGAGAGACCGACCGACTGAGCCACTGACTGAGCCACTGACCGAGCCACTGACCGAGCCACCGAGCCACCGACCGAGCCACCGACCGAGCCACTGAGCGACCGACTGAGCCACCGACTGACAGACCCAGCCACCAAGCAACTGAGCCACCGAGCGACTGAGCCACCGGGCCACCGACTGAGCCACCGAGCGACGACGGACCGAGCCACCTTGTGACCAGCCGAGCCAGCGACCGACGGATCCACTCAGCAACCAAACGACTGACTGACCTACCGAGCCAGCCACCGACCGACTGACTGACCCACCGAGCCACCAGCGAACGAGCCAGCCACCGACCGACTGACTCACCGAGCCAGCCACTGACCGACTGACCCACCGAGCCAGCCACTGACCGACTGACCCACCGAGCCAGCCACCGACCGACTGACCCACCGAGCCACCAGCGAACGAGTCAGCCACCGACCGACTGACCCACCGAGCCAGCCACTGACCGACTGACCCACCGAGCCACCAGCGAACGAGCAGGCCACTGACTGACTGACCCACCGAGCCAGCCACTGACCGACTGACTGACCCACTGAGCCACCAGCGAACGAGTCAGCCACCGACCGACTGACCCACCGAGCCAGCCACCGGCCGACTGACTGACCCACTGAGCCACCAGCGAACGAGTCAGCCACCGACCGACTAACCCACCGAGCCACCAGCGAACGAGTCAGCCACCGACCGACTGACCCACCGAGTCAGCCACTGACCGACTGACCCACCGAGCCAGCCACTGACCGACTGACCCACCGAGCCAGCCACTGACCGACTGACCCACCGAGCCAGCGACCGACTGACTGACCCACCGAGCCACCAGCGAACGAGCCAGCCACCGATCAAACTGACCCACAGAGCCACCAGCGAACGAGTCAGCCACTGACTGACTGACCCACCGAGCCACCAGCGAACGAGCCAGCCACCGACTGACTGACCCACCGAGCCAGCCACCGACCGACTGACTGACCCACCGAGCCACCAGCGAACGAGCCAGCCACTGACCGACTGACCCACCGAGCCAGCCACTGACCGACTGACCCACCGAGCCAGCCACCGACCGACTGACTGACCCACCGAGCCACCAGCGAACGAGCCAGCCACCGACTGACTGACCCACCGAGCCACCAACGAACGAGCCAGCCACCGATCAAACTGACCCACCGAGCCACCAGCGAACGAACCAGCCACTGACCGACTGACTGACCCACCGAGCCAGCCACTGACCGACTGACCCACCGAGCCAGCCACTGACCGACTGACTGACCCACCGAGCCACCAGCGAACGAGTCAGCCACCGACCGACTGACCCACCGAGCCAGCCACCGACTGACTGACCCACCGAGCCACCAGCGAACGAGTCAGCCACTGACCGACTGACCCACCGAGCCAGCCACTGACCGACTGACCCACCGAGCCACCAGCGAACGAGCCAGTCACCGACTGACCCACCAGCGAACGAGTCAGCCACTGACCGACTGACCCACCGAGCCAGCCACCGACCGACTGACTGACCCACCGAGCCACCAGCGAAGGAGCCAGTCACCGACTGACCCACCAGCGAACGAGCCAGCCACCGACTGACTGACCCACCGAGCCACCAGCGAAGGAGCCAGCCACCGACTGACTGACTGACCCACCGAGCCACCAGCGAACGAGCCAGCCACTGACCGACTGACTGACCCACCGAGCCACCAGCGACCGACTGACTGACCCACCGAGCCATCAGCGAAGGAGCCAGCCACCGACTGACTGACCCACCGAGCCAGCCACCGACTGACTAACCCACCGAGCCAGCCACCGACTGACTGACCCACCGAGCGGGCGACTCAACCACCGAGTAACCAGCGAACTGAACCACCGGGCGACTGGCCGAGCAAACCAAGCCATTGGCTCGGCCACTTGGTCGGTCGGTGGCTCGGTCCATCGGTGGCTCGCTGGTGGCTCGGTGGCTCTGGCGCTCGTTCGCTCGGTGGCTCAGACGGCCGGTGGCTGGCTCGCTGGTGGCTCGGTGTCTCAGTGTCTCAGAGAGAGAGTGTCTCAGTGTCTCAGTGTCTCAGTGTCTCAGTGTCTCAGTGTCTCGGTGTCTCACTGTCTCAGTGTCTCAGTGTCTCAGTGTCTCAGTGTCTCGGTGTCTCAGTGTCTTGGTGTCTCAGTCGGTGTCTCGGTGTCTCGGTGTCTCGGTGTCTCAGTGTCTCAGTGTCTCAGTGTCTCGGTGTCTCGGTGTCTCAGTTTCTTGGTGTCTCAGTCGGTGTCTCGGTGTCTCAGTGTCTCAGTGTCTCGGTGTCTCAGTGTCTCGGTGTCTCAGTGTCTCAGTGTCTCAGTGTCTCGGTGTCTCGGTGTCTCAGTGTCTCAGTTTCTTGGTGTCTCAGTCGGTGTCTCAGTGTCTCAGTGTCTCAGTGTCTCAGTGTCTCGGTGTCTCGGTGTCTCGGTGTCTCGGTGTCTCGGTGTCTCAGTGTCTCGGTGTCTCAGTGTCTCAGTGAGTGTCTCAGTGTCTCAGTGTCTCGGTGTCTCGGTGTCTCAGTGTCTCAGTGTCTCGGTGTCTCAGTGTCTCAGTGTCTCAGTGTCTCAGTGTCTCAGTGTCTCAGTGTCTCAGTGTCTCAGTGTCTCAGTGTCCCAGTGTCTCAGTGTCTCGGTGTCTCGGTGTCTCGGTGTCTCGGGGTCACGGTGTCTCGGTGTCTCGGTGTCTCAGTGTCTCGGTGTCTCAGTGTCTCAGTGTCTCAGTGTCTCAGTGTCTCAGTGTCTCAGTGTCTCGGTGTCTAAGTGTCTCGGTGTCTCGGTGTCTCGGTGTCTCAGTGTCTCAGTGTCTCAGTGTCTCGGTGTCTCGGTGTCTCAGTGTCTCAGTGTCTCGGTGTCTCGGTGTCTCGGTGTCTCGGTGTCTCGGTGTCTCGGTGTCTCAGTGTCTCAGTGTCTCAGTGTCTCAGTGTCTCAGTGTCTCAGTGTCTCGGTGTCTCGGTGTCTCAGTGTCTCAGTGTCTCGGTGTCTCAGTGTCTCAGTGTCTCGGTGTCTCGGTGTCTCAGTGTCTCAGTGTCTCAGTGTCTCGGTGTCTCGGTGTCTCGGTGTCTCAGTGTCTCAGTGTCTCGGTGTCTCGGTGTCTCGGTGTCTCGGTGTCTCAGTGTCTCAGTGTCTCGGTGTCTCAGTGTCTCGGTGTCTCGGTGTCTCGGTGTCTCGGTGTCTCGGTGTCTCGGTGTCTCGGTGTCTCGGTGTCTCAGTGTCTCAGTGTCTCAGTGTCTCGGTGTCTCGGTGTCTCAGTGTCTCAGTGTCTCAGTGTCTCGGTGTCTCAGTGTCTCAGTGTCTCAGTGTCTCAGTGTCTCGGTGTCTCGGTGTCTCGGTGTCTCAGTGTCTCGGTGTCTCGGTGTCTTGGTGTCTCGGTGTCTCGGTGTCTCGGTGTCTCGGTGTCTCAGTGTCTCGGTGTCTCGGTGTCTCGGTGTCTCGGTGTCTCGGTGACCCGGTGTCTCGGTGTCTCGGGGTCACGGTGTCCCGGTGTCTCGGTGTCTCGGTGTCTCGGTGTCTCGGTGTCTCGGTGTCTCGGTGTCTCGGTGTCTCGGTGTCTCGGTGTCTCGGTGTCTCGGTGTCTCGGTGTCTCGGTGTCTCGGTGTCTCGGTGTCTCGGTGTCTCAGTGTCTCGGTGTCTCGGTGTCTCGGTGTCTCGGTGTCTCGGTGTCTCGGTGTCTCGGTGTCTCGGTGTCTCAGTGTCTCGGTGTCTCGGTGTCTCGGTGTCTCGGTGTCTCGGTGTCTCAGTGTCTCGGTGTCTCAGAGTCTCAGTGTCTCAGAGTCTCGGTGTCTCAGTGTCTCAGTGTCTCAGTGTCTCGGTGTCTCGGTGTCTCGGTGTCTCGGTGTCTCAGTGTCTCAGTGTCTCGGTGTCTCAGTGTCTCAGTGTCTCAGTGTCTCGGTGTCTCAGTGTCTCAGTGTCTCGGTGTCTCGGTGTCTCAGTGTCTCGGTGTCTCGGTGTCTCAGTGTCTCAGTGTCTCGGTGTCTCGGTGTCTCAGTGTCTCAGT